GAAGATATGGAGGCAGTGACAGATTTTACTGTCTTGGGCTCCATGATCACTGCAGATGGGGACAGCAGTCACAAAATTAAAAGATGCCTGCTTCTTGGGAGGAAAGCGATGACAAACCTTGACAGCATCTTAAAAAGCAGAGACATCAGCTTGCTGACAAAGGTCCACATAGTCAAAGCTATGGTTTTTCCAGTAGCGATGTATGGAAGTGAGAGCTGGACCATAAAGAAGGCTGTCCGCCGAATAATTGATGCTTTTGAATTGTGATGTTGGAGAAGACTCTTGAGAGTTCCCTGGACTGCAAGGAGAACAAACCTATCCATTTTGAAGAAAATCAATCCTGAGTGCTCAATGGAAGGACAGATCCTGAAGCTGAGGCTCCAATACTTTGTCACATTTTAATTCATTTGGAAAGATTTGTTCTTTAGAAATCATTTAGCTTAAATTCCATATGAAAGTGTTTGTGTTCTCACACACTTATCCTTATCTAAAGTTACCAGCAGCTCTGTCAAGATGTACAGGTTCTGATTTCTGTGACTTGGCACTTGAAATTGTAGCTGTTTTATCCAGTTCATCTGTCAGCAAAGGCATTGTCACCACATTAAGCTTAATTTTGCACCCTTCTCTATCTGTGCAAAGTATAGCTATCACTAAGATTTGTCTGCCTGGAGTATATTAAATACTATTTATTTAAAGTTGATCATAACGTGTAATCAGTGTAATCCAGTGTTTCACCAGGAAGGATGGATAAAATTTTGTAGTGTGATTCTCCATCCACTGATGCCTCCCACATGTCATTTCTTTGCACTGTCATCTAACTCCACTAGAGGAATGAACTCACATATATGCTTCTGGTAATTCAGATTGTAATACGTGACTGATGTTCTTAAAACATAAATACCAAGGTCAGTTACCCCTAAAGTCCCAATATAAGGAGACATGTCCACAGTGAGCAAGGGAGCTAGCAGGATAAATGAGAACTATGGAATGTATGTTCCATATTCTTGTTGTTATTGAGTAGCACTGGCAGATAAGATTGAATTTTGTGAGGTCCACTATTTAAATGCCATAAAATCAAGCAGAAATCTTCAAGCATCACAATGCTACCAAACAGTACCCAGAAAGATACTATTATCACTGGTATCAAAATCTGCTGGAAAATCTAGAAAAACAGGGTTCCATCAGGGCTGTGAGTGCAGTTTTCCTCCTAAACTCTGGCCTAAACCTGAATGGAATGGATCCAGATTATTTTTTTCATTCAGGACTCCCAGTACACATATCACCACTGTGCTCTTGACTGTCTAGAAAACAGGATATGAATATTTCAACTATAGTCTGCCTCATTATTTGGGTGTCTTCAGAAGTGACCATGGTGGCGCTGCGGGCTAAACCGGAGAAGCCTGTGCTGCAGGGTCAGAAGACCAAGCAGTCGTAAGATCGAATCCACGCAATGGAGTGAGCTCCCGTTGCTTGTCCCAGCTCCCACCAACCTAGCGGTTCAAAAGCATGTAAATGTGAGTAGATAAATAGGGACCACCTTGGTGGGAAGGTAACAACATTCCGTGTCTAAGTCGCACTGGCCATGTGACCACAGAAGATTGTCTTCGGACAAAACGCTGGCTCTATGGCTTGGAAACGGGGGTGAGGATCGCCCCCTAGAGTCGAACACGACTGGACAAAAATTGTCAAGAGGAACCTTTACCTTTACCTTTAGAAGTGGCCATATTTTTCAGGGCAGCTGGAACAACTATCTCCTTTACTGAAATAGTTACAACCTACTCCATGTAGTTAGCCACACACACACCTATTGATTTTATTAACCAGGGATACCAAGGAGCAAATATACAAAAATAGGATGAATGTATCAAAAGACCCAAATCTGTATTATTAAACAATATCTGTTGAAACCCATTTCTAAAATGCTCAAGCATCCAAGAGCCAAAGAAATCATTTTGGAAGAAACTAGGGGATCAGCATCAAGGTAGATGCAAAGCATTTTATCCTCATATAGTCTTGCGAATAGGACCCAATGGGTTTCAAAGGGTTCTGCATAATTTCCAAGAGGAACAGAATCTAATGAACTCTAAACTACTTGGAAATCTTCAGCTGGAAGGCCACTTAGAAATGGAATGGAGCTGAAAAACATTCCCTTTGGACCAACCTCACTACCAGTCATGAGTAGTGGATGCAGAGAGATAACAAGTGATAACAAGTGAGAAAGAAGAGCTTAAATACTGTGAACAAGCAAGGAACATTGCAGAAAGTTAACCATGTTACTGGTCACTTAGCAAGTACACAGTAATAAAAGACCCTATTAATCTAACTTGGAAGTTGACTAGCGTGTACTAGCAGCTCTCTCACTGGTTTTAAAAAATATTGGTCTAATTAAATTGTCATGCTAAAAAGTCAAGGACCTTCTGAAAATAATTTGACATAGCAAAATAGAACACTCCAGCCAACCTTTGATGCTTCAGATATACAGAGTTTCCTTGGTACTACTATAAGAATAGTTATTTTGGAAGAATATAATGGAAGATGCATGTGAATATTTGTGATTTGTTTTTCCTTTTAGGAGCACATGGTTCTCTGCAGATTTGCTGATCAGACAGCTGTCCAGCTTCCCCCTGAACGCAGGCAAATAGGTATGCTGGTCTGTAGAGCAGCTGTTGTCTAGATTATAGGCACTATAATTGGTGATGTGCGTAGCTTACTATATATGGGTAATTCTGGTGTGTTTATCAAAAAGGAATTAAAGTGTTGGTTTCTTAGAACACATAGTGTGACATTGCTAGTGAAACAATATTCTCTGTTTATATTCTGTTCAGGTCTGGGATTTGAGCACATTATGCTGTAATATATTTGTGATTCTTTTTATTCACTTGTTATTTACAGCCCAATAAAATGATGATGGAATTTAAGCAACATATGAATGCCTTCAGAGGCACAGTACAGTATAGTAGCTAGAAGTATGGTCTGTGAACTAGAAAATCCCTGATGCAAATATTCCATTAGTCACAAACTAAATGGCCTAAAACAAGCCATTCCTGCATTATCAACAAATCATAGAGTTACGGGACTAGAAGAAAGGAAGTATCTCCTGCCAAAGCAGTAAATCTAAAGCTAAGGTATCCCTGACAAGTGGCCATTTAAAACCTCCAGTCAAGAGGAGGTCTCCACACTCCAAAGATTGGTCAGACTTTGAGGTTGGCACAGGAGATGACTCTGAGCAAAAGGTTTCTTGGCCACAGCTGTCATCAGGATACCCTGTGGTAAACCTGAGGCCAGAGGAAATCCCAAGTGACAAATGTAATCATTCAAAGGGAGTGCAGCTTTATCGAAAGCAGATTGGCTTCCTACTCCTGGATTAGTAGGCCATTGAAATGGTACTTTTGTATTTAGTGGACTTCCTCCCCTTTAAGTCAGCAGGAACCCTCCAAGCTGAATTATGGGAATGCAAACCTCAAAGCAGCAAGGGTTGGAATAGCTCCTCCAGTTCTATTCAGTTCCCAGCTATTCTTCTAGTAAGTGAGGCAAAAAGTGCCCCTGTGAGTTCTGACAGAGACTGCATCCCCTTGAAGCTCTCAGTGTCCCAGGTTGTTCTAGGTTCCTTTTGACTTTCTTGTTTTAAAAGCAGGTGTCAGCTGATTTGCTGTTGCTTTTATTTATCTTATGTTGTATTATAAGCCACTTAGAGATAGTTGTTGACTGTAAATCAGCACACAAACCTTCAAAATAGAAATGAAATTTTTGGATAAATCCAAGGCTAGATGCTGGTCAGTGCTTATTCTGCAGAATTTATCTGTGCATTAGGAATGCAACTGCATCTTAAAATTGACATTTGAGAACACAATAGGAAGTACTAAGAGTCTGAGATAATCTTACCCTTTTTTTTCATCCTAACAAAACTGGCAGAACTTTAAAGCCACCCTTGTATCTGAAAAGGAAGATGCACTGTCAGGGCCACAGCTGCAAGTTCAAGAGGTTTCACTCCACCAAATGGAACAGGCATTTTTCCCCAGCACTTTGGTGATACAAAAAGGAAATGTAATCATTTAAGGAAGGGTGGGGTGGATTGATATAAATGGACATCTAAATGTCAACTCAGCGTTTCAGGTAAATTGTGTGTGCAGCAACAAGTTATAGTGCCTTTTTCCTTCCAGGACGAACAGATAGAGTAGAAATAGGTAAATAATAAAAAATCCTCCCCTCATCCCACTCCCAGCATTTTTGATCTTGTTGTCTGAGGATATACTTAACATCAGGCTTATCCACTCCATTAAAAGAATCTTTTCCATTTCAATCATCTTTCTTCACCTTTTAAACTTGCTAATGGGTGTGTGATTGGTATGGATTAAGTCTTGTTTTCAGATGACTAGGGTAAAGGTCAGATCGGATTAGCACTAACCACATGTTCTGTTAAGGGCAGAATCTCATAGTGAAGTGTTTTGTAAGGTGCACTGAGTCAGTAATTTTTCTGAGGGCTGCCAAAAAGTAAGACCCATTGAATGCAGTGGGGGCTCACTTTTGACAATAGGGTTGGGTTGTTAGAATGTCCACCATCATAACAGTTCCCTATTTTATTTTTAAGAAGGTGATTTTAATGATATTTCCAAACAAAATTATTAAACAAAGAAGTACAATATTTTCTCCCACTCCACTGCTATTTATTAATGATATTTGTCAGTCTATATAATCTGTCGTTGGACAGAATCTAGTAGTAAGTCACAAATAGAGTACACCCACTGAATCGGTGGAACTTAAAGATGAGTTCACTCACCAAATCCCCACTGATTCAACAGTCCTACTCTAGTTGTGATTTACTATAAGACTGTAGCTGTAAATAGATGATTTTATGTGATTTTGTGTGTAATACCACCACATTAAACAAATACAAAAGCAAGAAATTTGGGACAAGATTTTCAGTATTTACTACTCAGGTATCCTGAGATGGTATGTTTTATGTCTCATGCAACAAGCTATTTTCCCTACATTTCTTTCAGCATATTTCATGTAGACAGTATCTTAAATAAACTTTGAGCAAAACTAGAAAAGTAAAAAAAAGACATGTTATGTAGGTAAGAAACTACATAGGAACATATAAACTTCTGATCCCACTACTTTTGGTTTTTATTATGCTTTTAAGTTTCTAGATCTTTATTTTATTTCTATCCTACTTTCCTACATATAAAGATCTAACACAGCTTACAAAATATTTAAACTACATGTGCAGCTAAAACACATTAAAATATAATATTAAAGCCTCAATTAAACATACATATTCACCAGAATTGTTTTGTCAGCTTATGCGTGCTGATATGATATTGCATAAGTCCAGCTTAGTGGCTTATGTCTCTGGTTGCTGAGCCAGAGAATTAGGCGTTCATTTCCCCACTGTGCCTTGTTGAGAGGGGCTGGACTTGATGATCCATAGGGTCCCTTCCAGCTCTGCAGGTCAAAGGTTGTAATTATTAGCAGCAGCATGCTGCTCATTAATGAACCACTAGTTGTGTTTCTATATATGTGCCTGTTCACCCATCCACAAATACAAGCAGCACCTCATTAATGATAAGAAATCTGCTACCCAGATTACATGATTTCTCTGAAGCAAGTAGTGATCAGTAATGGAATTCTGGCCATTGTTATATTATACAATACATTGATTTCTACATGAGAAGGTACATCAGATGTGCATCCTGAGTTGTCCATCAGTTTAATTTATATTAACATGTATAAGCTGCCCCTCTGCCCTAGAATGGGCCTCAGAATGTCATACAAATGTTTAAATGTATAGTAAAAAAAACTCCTGAACACAATTCAGGCTGCTGTTGATTACATATAATACAGTGGTGCCTCGCTTAACGATTACCTCATTAAACGACGAAACTGCTTGATGATGAAGTTTCTGCGATCACTTTTGCGATCGCAAAATGATCTTTCAATGGTAAAAAATCGCTTAACGGTGATTGGTTCCCTGCTTCGGGAACCGATTTTCCACTAAACGACAATTTTGAAACAGCTGATCGGCGGCTCTAAAATGGCTGCCAGCTGAGCAAAATGGCCCCCCACTGTGTTTTCAGGATGGATTCCTCGCTTTACAGGCACTGAAAATGGCCTCCCTATGGAGGATTTTTGCTGGATGCTGAGGTATTTAGCTCATTGGAACACATTGAACCGGTTTCAATGCATTTCAATGGGCTTTTTCGTTTCGCTTGATGAGGATTTCACTTAACAGCAATTTCAACAGAACGAATTATCCTCGTCAAGCAAGGCACCACTGTACCTGGTATAAACTAACATAAAACCTCTAGTATTGGTATTCGACTCATATTGGTGGTAGCACTGTTCTACCCAGGGCCTTTTCTGTCAGGGATGAAACTTTAGATTTCTGCTTACAAAGCATGTCTTCTGCTATTGAGCAATCACAAATTCATGCGTTCCTGTTGTGCTCACCAAGAAGTGAGGTGTGCCTCAGCACATAAGCTGTATCTTTTGGCCACCAGTCTTTGTGTTCTTAGTACTATAGAGATACCTTTCAGCTATATTTTTTTAAAAACACAGATTAGGACAGTATTCAGCTACAAGTAAAAGGAGAGTTGGATCTCATTACAAAGTATTAAAGGCAGTGTTATTAGTATGATTTATGCCAAAATACTGATTTTTCCTATAGAATAATTAGGGAAGTCTTTACATACTCTCTGTTCATTTTTGTGTTTTAGGTAAAAATTGCATGGGGCTTGTGGATCTCGACAGGGCCTGGAGCGTGGAAAGAAGCAACTACTCCGTCCAAGTGATATCCATGGAACCAGAGACATGTTCCCCAAAGAATAACTTGATAGTGGGCGTCCCAATTTAGTTCAAACGTTTTTCAGATTATCTGAACTAACAGTCGTCCCTTATGATCAAAGTCTAATAAGCATTTGGAGATTCAGACTTTAACTGGGAAGCAGACGGTGCACATCTTGAATTCATTGTCTTTGGAAAAAGGAAGTGGATAGGAAAGGGCTTGGCAGTGAGGATGCTTCACAAAGCTTCCTAAATCTTGCATGAAATGTGTGATTAAATGACAGCTGTTTCTCAGAGTAGGAATATTCCAAAGAAGTCTCTCTGTCCGCCACCATAGAAAAACAAGGTCTTTTAAAAAGCTTCATGGCTGGAAAAATGATTTCCTTTTCCATGAAGACAAATGTTGTATGTTGGAAGAGCGTTTCAAATGTGTTTGTGCTTACAGAGTTTGACAGTTTTTAAAAGTGTATGCACCTACATTAAAACCCTTTGACAGCTTTTTAAACCTAGTTGCATTCTTTTTGTGTAGCTGTGCAGCCTACTGCCCTTTCTGAGGGGAGGAGGCCCTGGAAAGGATCCATAGACACACTGGAGCAGGAATGCTATTGAACAGCTTCTAACTTGGTCAACTCTCCATCTCAACGGACTGAGGAGCTGTCCTGGACCCGGCATCACTCCACTCCCTTGGCAGTGGTTTCCTACACTCGTCCCCAAGTCTCATTTTGGTGTGTGTTCCTTTCACTAGTCCCAATTCCATGGGACCCCCCCACCCCCACCCCCGTGAAGGCTGGTAGTCCTGGGCAGAGATCAGTCTCCACAGAGGATGGCTTCCAGTATCTGAATGATCTGCATGAAGTGCAGTTTCCACAGAAAGTTTCTCCATCATGTGTGCTGTTTGGGAGTGGGTCCAAGTGCACAAGTTTGTCTAGGCTGGCGGTCATGGGGTTCCACTGAGGGTCACATCACTCCCATGTCTGTATCCCTGGACCAAGCTCATACACAAGCCCACAGGTCGCACAGGACGTTCAGCTGTGCCCCCACCAAGGCACAAAAAAGTGACAGCAAATCTTGCCAAGTTTCCGACCATGACTCTCCCTCTTTCACTTTTTACATCCCACCTGTGCTCCAGGTTCACTCCAGATGTTCTGCCCCCTTCTTCCACCTAGATGCTCCTTTCCCCCTTCTTTGCCTGCCAGAGATGGCAAGGGCATCTCACCAAAACCATTTACCTTAATTGTCTACAGACATACAGTACATCTTTAAGAGATCTTTTTCTGTAAATTGCATCATATATTGCAAAGTAATTGGTTACCACTTTAGTCATTGAAGTATGTGTGCTAAGTCCCTTCCTCTATTCCCTGTACACACGATTGCACCCCACTGTATAACACCAATGCAATTATTAAATTTGTGGATGATACGACAGTGGTGGGGCTCATAAATAAGAACAATGAGTCTGCTTATAGAAAGAAAGTACAAAGGTTGATACTTTGGTGTAAAGAAAATCATCTCACAATTAACATCAAAAAAACTAAAGAACTCATAATTGATTTTAGGAGGAAGAGAAATGTACATTTACCACTGTACATAAACGGTGAGGAAGTGGAGAGAGTTGGTAGTTTTAAATTTCTGGGTACTTACATCTCAGAGGACCTCTCATGGACTATAAATGCCAACATGCTAATGAAGAAGGCACAGAAGAGGCTGTATTTCCTGAGAATGCTCGGCAAGTTAAATTTATCTCAGCATTTACTTCTGTCATA